TGCTGTCTGGGCATAGGGACAGTTTTAGCCAATATAACAAAAAAGTGATTTTTAAAAACTTACAGACTTCAGCTTTAAGGCATGGTACTTTCACTGTCTGCCTACCTTTTATTTTCATTTTCTTTTCCTTAATAAACTGTTAGAACTGTTTAATAACCATGTCCTGGTAATTCAAAGGTTCCCAGAGAAACAGATCCACCTCATTATAGTTCTTCCTCTGTGCCTAATATTGGGATTTTACAAGTATTTATACATCTTTTCCCACCAATCCACTTCAACTGTTTGTAGCTGAAAACCTCAAACTAACTGGAGCCAAATTATGCTTGGAGTTCTGATGGTAAAACAGGAAAAAAATGTTTTTGTTTTCTTTGACAAATCTCCCTAACTCTTTATTTGCAACTTTTTGCTGAAGTTCTCTGCAGTTTTTATTTATGATATTTCCTGATCGCTGTGTGTTGTGGCAAGATAAACGTGACTCATCATGCATCCTAAGGCAGACGGGCTGTGTCATAGTAACCTTTGAGACTCTAACCAACTTAAATGTATAAATACGAAAATATTTCTGTGACATTTGTGCTAGGAAAATTGTGATTGCCTATACTGATACACTGGAGAATTTGTTAAAGTCTGTTCTTTCTCTCCTTTTTTTCAACTGGATATTCATACTTGAATTAAAGGTTGTTGTTTTTTTTCTAATAAAAAAGACAAAAAAAATTTAATTTGAATGTGCATTAAAACATTGATGTATTCTAGTGGCATTGGTACACCATTATTAGGGATTTCAATAAGTATTCTGCTCCTTTTTTGATGGTATATTGTTTCTAATAATTATTATTAGTGTTTTTTGGGGGGTCTTTTTTTGTCTCTCACGATAAAATAAACATAACCAAACTCCTTTGATCTTTTGCAGGGTAAATGCATAAGCAGTGGAGCTTCTCTGTGCTCAAACAGGCTTCTGCTCTCCTTCGATTTCACGTGAGATTAAAGAGCACCAATGTAAGACCAACGGCTCCTCTGGGTTCACGAGTTCTGACCAACCCTGATGACATCTTTAAACACAACATGTGGTTAGTGATGATTCGTACAGCCGCTGTTTACTCTTTAGAGAATACATAGAAAGTCCTTTCTGTCAGATTTGTAATGCTTCTGCTGTTAGGGACCATGTGCAGTGGACAGAGGAGGACAAAGAGGCTGCTCGGCAGAGGGCAGAAGAAAATTCAAGATTACGACTTCCTTTAACAGAACAAGGTTATGAATACATTTAAATTACCTTCAAATAACCACTTATGTATTATAGAACCAACTTTTTTTTTTTAATTGACTCTGTTTCCTCCCTTTAGGTAAATTTGTCACAAATGCCAGTCAGTACTGGGACCACTTTTATGAGGTGCATCAAGATAAATTCTTCAAAGATCGCAGGTGGCTGTTTTTAGAGTTCCCAGAGCTGCTTCCTTCATCTGTGGAAAAAAGGACAAACATATGCCTCAGTCATCAGGTAGCAACAGCAGCAGCTCCCAGGCGGACTGGGATTGGTACACAGTCAACACAATGATGGCATTCAGCGCAGCCATAAAACAGATACCTTTCTTTTTTTTTTTTCTTCCAGGAACCAACACCAGAGCCAAATGAAGTGGTCGCAGAGGCCTCGTTTTTTCCTGGACAGCAAACATCTTTTAGGATCTTGGAGGTTTTTATAATTGTCCACCTACTGTTATGTTCCTGCTTTTCCTTTTCCTTAGCTTTACATGTTTATGATGTTATTCAGCTGCTTTAACTTTGCTTTTTATCTTTTCTCTCCCCAGGTTGGATGTGGAGTTGGAAACAGTGTATTTCCCATCCTTAATGCCATAAAGTAGGTCATTTTTTACTCATTTGCACAAAACGACTTTTCTAAAGGTTTGACTTTTTCTAAAGGTTTGACTTTTTCTAAAGGTTTCTAGATTGAATTAGTTTTTTTGTGTACAGATTTGCTGAGTGAGCGAAATTACCCTTTTCTATAGTTTGAAATTTTCATTCTGAGATCTAACGTAGTTTTAATTTGAGAAAAAATTGCTTTTATTTTTCAATAAAGTGGAATGACTGAACATAAAGGACAAATTTGCTGCAGGTTTCTTAATAGACATCCTAGTTTTAAAAAACAAATATTATGATTTGGGTTGATATCTTTATCAAATATTATAAGGCTTTATATTTTATGTTATTTAAATTATATACTAAATATTTTCCAATTCTTCTATTAAAAACCCCACAATCCTGTGCTGCATTACTATAACTGTTAGATGCTCAAACAAAACTCAACTTAGACAACTTCTATTGTCATTTTATATTTACAGTGTATGCAAAACGAAATTTAGTTTTGTACAACTTTCAGACAGTGAATGAACATTTCCATTCTATAAAGTTCAGCAGTGATCAAATGTAAACAGTGTGGGGGAAAAAACATGGTGCAAAAATGCATTGATATGGAAGTTCAGAGCATTTCAAGACGAATATATATGGTGCAGATATGCAATATTTTGGTTTGGTGTTATCAGTGTGGTGCAGAGTCTGTGACTTGATTTAGAGTTTTTTTTCAACATTTCAACACCTGTCTGATGGCAGTGGGGAAGAAGCTGTTGCAGAATCTGCTGGTCCTGCATTGAATGCTGCAAAGCCTCTTCCCACAGGATAGCAGGGAGAACAGTCCATGGTGGGGGTGTGAGGGGTCATTGATAATGTTACGGGCTCGGGACACGCAGCGCTGGGATGAAATGTCTTTAATGGAGAGAATGCTCTCTATGGTGCTTCTGTAGAAGGTGGTGAGGATGATGGGGGGCAGGTGGGCTCTTCTCATCCTCTGCAGGAAGTACATGTGCTTTTGTGCTCTTTTGACCAGTGAGGTGGTGATTACATTCCAGGTGAGGGTGTCTGTGATGTGCACCCCCAGGAATTTGCAGTGTTGATGCAGTCATGTGTCATCAGGGAGAATAGTAGGCGGCTTAGGACTCAGCCCTGAGGGGAGCCTGTGCTTAGGGTGATGACATCAGAGGTGTTCTGTCCAACCTGGACTGATTGAGGTCTGTCTTTGTGGAAGTCTAGCAGCCAATTGCAGAGGGGTGTATTGAAGCCAAGCTGTTCCAGTTTTCCTATAACATACTGTGGGATGATGATGTTGTAAGCTGAGCTGAAGTCCAGGACCAGCATCTGCACGTGGGTGTTCTTCTTCTCCAGGAGTGCCAGGCTCAGGTGAGCAGAGGAGATTGTGTCCTCAGTGGAGCGATTCTGTCAGTAGGCAAACTGGAATGGGTCGAATGTTGGGGTAGACGATGTGTTCTTTAACCAGCCTTTCGAAGCAATTCATCATGATGGGAGTCAGTGCAAAAGGCCGGTAGTCATTAAATGACCCAAAGCATGCTGGCACTCTGGATTGGACCAGAAAGGTGTTAAAAATGTCTGTTAGGACACCAGCTAGCTGACCTGCACACTCTTGAACACCCGACCAGGTATGTTATCGGGGCCTGGGGCCTTCCTTGGGTTGACTCTCCTCAGAGTCTTCCACACATTAGCTGTGTCAAGGTAGAGTGCCTTCTGTTCCCGTTGTGGAACAACGTTCACTGCTGGAGTGCTGTTTAGTGCCTCAAGCTACCTATAAACTATATAACAACTAACCTCTTCCTTCCAGAAGGACCAAAAAACGGCAGCTAAAGGGTAATAGATGTGTGTTACTTATATTGAGTAAAGTACAGGAGCCTATTTCACAAAACCAACATAAGGGATTAAGTCAGGATTTTTCAAATACTCGGACCAAATGAATCCGCAACTTGGTTTCAAAAAAGCAGCATTTCTTTATCAAACCATTATTAAATACTGTTATATAGTCAAGTAATTTTCATTAACATTGTTACAGTAGCATATACCATTATAAATTTTAAAATTTTCAATGTCGACAATGGAACTGTTTGATGTGTTTTTGGACGGTTGCTGTTCTACGCTTAATAAAAAGGCCTTTAAGACCATTGGTTCTTTAATAGACAGTTGTGTTGAAGGAGATAGAGAAACACATAAATTGAATTGTTCCAGATAATTACCTGCATTAGCATTACTGCTTTTCTTGGGACATCCGCTACCTCTGCAGACTGCTTTCCAAAAGATTCCCAAAATTCAGCACCTCACAGAACAGAGCCATGCCTTCATCATTATACAGATGACCTGTGGCCTCAGATTCGTATGCAGTAAGAGAGGCTGAACATCTTAGCAAAGACACTGTTTGATGCACTATTAGAAGTGTGAATTTGGCATTAAAAGGATAATACGCACATCTTCATAGCTATCCACCGCCAGAGAATAATAATAATAATAATCTACATTAAGTAGGGATTCTGCAGTTTAGGAACATTGTTTGAATTAGGCAAAACATCACGAAATAAACTTTGGAACAGGTGGACTACGGCTTTCGTTCTTTAATGCAGAATTCCCTGATGCTATTGATAAGGTGTTACTCTATAAAAAATTATCTGCTGATTAATAACATTTTTCCATCCTATTACTTTTATGAAGTATTTAATCCCAAGTATCCAGCATTGAAGGCAAAGACTTAAACCCCTGTACCATGGAGGGGCTGAATAATAATATAGAAATATAGTATAAAATTATAAACTGTGATATCGGCAATTGTTGTCATATTAGTTAGATTTAGATTAATAGCTGTTCATTTGAAAAAGATAACCAGTAACTTCTTCAATTGTCAGGTTTTCATTTCAGAGAGAAGTGGTTATGAAATGTGTATTTTAGGCTGTTTAGGTATTTAGTCGATCCACTTTTGTTTGCAGAATCAATAAATCTGTAATTTATCTCTTGGCCTTTTGAAAAAAAAAACTGCAGATCTGCATTTATCTCGGTTACTTACACCCGGCTTTACGTAGCCACACCCGTGGAGTCTGAGTTTTCATCTGTGGAGCAGATGAAGCCAGGATGCACTCCTCATGCTAGATCTCCTATTCAAGCCAGGCTGAATTTAGCTTTTCTGAAATTGGGGTCAGGACTTATTCCAAAACATTAAAAATTACTAATATCAGCTGGTGCTGATATGTTGTTTATCTCTAGTTTCAAAAATCAAATCCAAATAAAGGAATTGCAACATGGGCCTCAAAATTTTATCAAACACGCAGATCCTTGACCATCATCCGACTTAAACTGAACTCAAAACAAAGAATTTAAACAACCATGTTTTTTGTCTTTGCATTTTATATAAGAATAAATTTTAAATGTGAACAAAAAAACAGATGTAGCTCCTGATGCTGTCATTGTTTATCTTTTGTTAAAGTGAAAGCATAGTCCCCAATTAAAGAGAGAAAATATTACAAAAGGTCTCAGTATTATTTACCTAATTTTGATGTTATAGTAGATTCAGAGTTGATTCTTATGTTTCACAGGAACACAGACTCATTTTTCTACTGCTGTGACTTCTCCCCTCGTGCCATTCAGCTGGTTAAGGTAATAATTAAAAACAAAAGACGATGTAGTCACTGTGACCTAGATCTAAATGAGCTAACAATTAAGTGTCCTCTTCATCTTGAAAACTAAATAGAGATGCTTATTTCAACCCAGATTAACAGCAGAACTTGTTTAATAAACACAGAACGAGAAACATCCATGTGTGATAGTGTGATAGGCCAACACAAAACAGCAAATTATTTTGTGTGCGAAAGAAAAAGATGCATGATTTATTTATTCTCCGTATAAAATTCTGAAAAGGGTTTGTATTTAGACTCTTTCACTCAGACCCTTCAGAATAAAAGCTGGTGCTACTCACTTCCTGTAGCAGTCAGTTATTTATCCCATAGCCCACCTGTGTGATATATTGTCAGGGATAAATCTGTGGAGAAGTTTAAAGCACAGTTAAGGATGAAAACATCCTTATCTTCCACTATTTTACTGTTTGAAGTCATTACACAAAAGTAGAAAGAGCATGATGCAACTGCAAATCTACCCAGACATAATTAACTCAAAGGCTGCATAAGGAATTATTAGGGAAACGGATTATGAATCGTTTATCACAGAATTAGCCAAGAACCTCATGTTAACTCTGGAGGATCTGTAGAGGTCAGTAGCTCAGTTGGGAGAATCTGTTGACATGATATCAACTATTACCTCCATGAATTTGGCTTTAATGTAAAGATCAGCATAGGAAAGCCATAAGAACAACACATGGAAGGAGAGGCTCTGATAAATGAGACAAAAAATAAACTGTATATGTAAAATGTAATGTTGCAAGAATAGTAACATTGCACACCTTCCTATTGAAACAGGATGGCAACCATAGTAGCAAGTAGGCTTTTATTGAAGAACACATGAGGAAACTGATCAAATTACATGTGAGATACGTGGAGCTAAATGCAATCCATAAAGGATGCCTGTTACAAGCTGGAGGATAAAAAAATAAAGAACTTTATTTTAGAAAAACCTTTTTAAAATTTTTTATTCAAATTTAACATGCAAATTCCGCTGCTCTGTCTTTGTGGACTTAAACTGAACTCAAAACAGATACGGTATATGTATAATTTAGTGCTTATTTCTTGAAAGTGCTATAAAGAATTTACATTTAATTAATAACATCTCTATACCTTTCTATAGTCCACAACAGCAGCAATACTATTAAATAAGATTCTTATTTAAATTACTTTGCCATACTGCTCCAAAAGTCCATTAGGTGAGCAGAAAATACATTTATTTACATATAAACATACACATTTATACATATCTATACACATCTTCATTCATACAAGTATTACTCATAGCTCACATGACCACAAATATTTCAATATGTAAAAACCCATTTACAGTTACTAAGAGGAACCATAGATTTCAGACCAGGACAGAGGTTCACCATGTTTGGAGGGTGAAATATGCACAACTTACAAAAAGCTTTTCTACAAAGCATTAAATACATTTCTGTATTTCAAACTTAATCCCTGTAGATGGAGTATATATATATATATATATATATATATATATATATATATATATATATACTGTATACAAAATGTGAAAAAATTTTGTCTTAGGCTAAAGAGAAAAAATATATTTTATCTTAAAGTGGTGATAATTAAGTGAATATGACCCACTTTCTTCTCCTTTTAATAGGACCATCCAGACTATGATGATTCTGTTTGTCATGCCTTTGTCCATGACATCTGTAAGGAGGAGACCTCTTTTCCTTTTCCTCCTCAGAGCCTGGATGTCATCCTAGCGGTCTTTGTGCTCTCCTCCATCCATCCACAGCGGTACGTGAGGGTTAGAGTATAGAAAGGGATTTAACCACTTAAACTTTCCCTTCACAGCATTCCAACCCACCGTCCTGCTGCTCAACTTTTGAGTCATTTTTTCTTTAAACCAAATGACTGTTGCTGACATTGTAACTACAGACACTGGTCTTGTATATGCAATAGATTAAACAGAAGATAGCACATAGTTGTGAGGTGACAAAAACAAAAGATTGATGGATTTTCTGCTATTAGTAACGGCTTGCATGTGGCAAAAGAATAATATTAAACACACTCTACCTATCATTGAACATGGTGGTGGAATCATTATGATATTCTGTTCTTCAGCTAGGTAGAATCTATTTTTGAATAAAAATTTGTTGGAAGCAGTAAAAGAGGACCTACAGAATGAACTAAAGATTAAACATTTATGTTCACAGGGGCACTCCTGTTTCACGGCAGGATGGACGACTATTTTAGTCTTTGCAAAGCTGTTTGAGAACCTAAAAGACTTGTAGATATAATGACACCATAAATAGATTTACTCTGTATGGGTTATAAAAAAAAACTGATTTTTTCATTCCTTTCACAATTGAGCACCAGTTTGTATAAGGATGTCATGATATATTGTTAAAAACACATTACAAGTACCGCCTCCAGAAGAATCAATGAAAACACAAATCACATGCATTTATTTGTCAAATAAAGTAAAACCATTTATGTTCTATCACATACATTTCCCCTTAAAATACTCTTATGTTTATGATCGAAATGTGACTAAATTTAGTCTTTTCTTCCTGCGTGTTGTGGTTTTGTGTATGACACATCTGTAATAAATATCCCTTCATATATGTATATGTTGTTCACACCAAACAGCAGTATGTGATGATTTCTTCCTATTTGCAGAATGCAAAGAGTGGTGAACCATCTTTCAATGTATCTGAAACCAGGAGGGGTTTTCCTTTTCCGAGATTATGGGAGATACGACTTTTCACAACTAAGGTTTAAGAAGGGTATGGTTCATCATTACCTTTAAAGCAAACAAAGTATTCAGATAGTAATGTCAAATATATTTCATTAGGAAATTAGAGGCTTTTCCAGGATTAGCGTTTTTTTATTCTTGACCATTTTTCTTTAAAAAGATTCTAAAAAGTAAGTTCTCTTTGAATTGAAGGAAATTAAGAGAAGTCTTAAAATATGAGGAAGAAAGAAGGAAATGTCAGATAAAGGGGTGATAAAAGAAATGGATTAAGCAAACAAGTATGAAAAGAAGGAAGGAAAGTATGACACAAGGAAATATGAGGAAGTAGGAGAGTAATGAAACAACATTTGGATGATCAGGAAGCAAATAATTATTAAATGGTATATATTTTTTAAGTTCTTATAGTGGCATTAAATGCATTTCAGTCTAGGAACCTGGAATGCACTTAATGCCACTCTTAGCTCTATTTTTAAATACATTTTAAATATTTTCTTTTTCCAACTATTTAGGTCGATGCTTATCAGACAATTTCTACACTCGTGGAGATGGAACCTGTGTTTACTTCTTTACAAAAGGTACGGTCCAGATCTACAGGTGTGTGTTTACCTTAAAACAGACGTCAACAAAATCATATCCGCCATTTATGAAACCGTTTGATGTTTAATAGACAATGCAGTCATGTACATCTTCCCTTTTTTCAATTTTTTTTTTATTGAACTTTATTGGTCTCACAATTAGGAAATTAAGTATCTGCATTTAAACCATCTCCTTTGGGGAGCGAAGGCTGCCACTGTGCAGGGGGGCAATCGGGGGTTAAGGGTCTTGCTTGCACAGAGAGCCAGGGTGGCAGTCTGTGGGATATATCTGAGGATTTTTGTATTATTTTCTTTAGTCTGGGGTTTCATTTTTTAGAATGTAACAAAACCAAGTCATAACAGCCTGTTATTTCTGAATGACTATCTAGCTTTGGAGAAACAGACTGCAGCACTGGCCACTGATCGAGTTTTATGCTTCGTTTACAGAAGAGGTCCATGATTTATTTTCCAAAGCTGGACTTGAGGAAATCCAGAATCTGGAGGACAAACGACTACAAGTGAACCGTGGAAAGAAGGTTGTAATGCGTCGGGTGTGGATGCAGAGCAAGTACAGGAAACCACCTCCATCATCACCCTCCTGAAAGCCCCGGAAGCACAGCTGTGTGTGTGTGTTTTTTATGCTTTTCTGATACTATTTATATCTTGTGTATTCTATTGCAATATATCTTCTATTTAATTTTTGTATGACATTTAAACTGCAGCAAAATAATTTTAATAAAATTAAGAAGCATATTATAGTGCTGTCTTTTTATTTCAGTGTGTTAATAATCAGAGGTTATTTAAGTTATTAGGCAGCTTTGTTATAGAAACTGGTCTTGTCTTCACCTAACATGCAAATTTTAGGAGGACAGAAAATACAAAAAAGGTTTAAATAAACGCATGATAATTCATGATTTCCCAGTTAAAATGTGCACTTTAGTAATGATGGTGTCCTCTTTTCACACCCCTTGAACACATCATAACCAGACCCTTTGTTTTTTATTAAGATTTTTTATAGACTCAAAATGCTGCAAAGTTGGTAAGTGGAGTTAAAAAAATTGCCTTGTTTAAAAGATAATTTCTAAGTAAATTCTAAAAACGGTTTCCATTTCTTGACAACACTATGTAGAACCCCCTTTGATCGCAATTGCAGCTGTAAGTCTTTTGGGGGTATGTAACTGAAGCTGTTGCCCATTTTCCTTTGCAAAAAGCTCAAGCTCAGCTTGGTTTGTGGAAAAGCATCTCTAAACACAGTGTCCTCAAGATGGAAAAGAAGAAAAATAAAGTATTTATGAGCTATCTGATCCAATATTGGCTTTCGTTTTGCCACTCGTTCATAAAGGCCAAATTTGTGAAGTGCATAATCAATAGCTTTCCCCACCTGATTTGTGGATCCCTGCTAAACGTCCAGGTTTAACCCTGGCATTATTAATGAAGTTAATATCTGTGCTGTCAGTTTGGTTTCAGTAGGCTCCAAGATGGGCAATGGCCTTTCTATTTTCAAATAACTAATGGAAAATGTTTTTTTTCCAAAGCATGGCGTATGTTGACAGTTCACCATTGCTTACAGCAATCTTTATTTACAGGTACAGGGATATAGAAGGGTAAGTACCACTGTAGATCACATTTGGGGGATTTTCAGAAGAAAATGCCTAAATCATACTGTTACATCATATACTCCCATAATAAAAACACAAAAAACTGAAAGTTTTGGCTGAAAGACCTCAGGGGAAACAAATACCTTTTACAAAAGAACTGTACCAGACGTAAAAAAAAAAATAAAATAAAAAAAAAGATATGCCTTGATCATTTAATTGTTTCCTTAAAGCTACAGTGTGTAATAATTACTGGGATATACAGTCAGAAATGTAATATATTATACATAACTATGTTATTTATCATCATCTACGAGCTCAGCCTCTTAACCTTAATATTTGCGTTGCCTTAGAATTCGTTATTTATAATTACATAGGAGCGGGTCTCGCAGCCATGGAGGCAGACATCTTTGCGCTACGGCAGCGCAGAGCCAACAAACTAGCGATTGCGAGAACACCAAAACGTCACAACGATGTAGAAAAAATAACGGGTATATTTATTATCTTAAGTCTACATGAAATCTATACCTACACAGACTAATGAAATACTATCTGTAAAATTATCTATGTAAACAAACCTCATCACTTGAGAAGGTAGGTGATGCAGACGTCGTGGAAGACATTTTGTCCCGTAACGCTCGCCGTACTGTTGGTGGGGAGAAGCGGTAGTGGGGAGATGTTCATGTTGCTGCAGTCTGACCGCTAGATGTCGCTAAAAGTTACACACTGTAGCTTTAAATGTTACAAATGAACAGTATATGAACATTTTATAACGCAAAACATAAGACCTGTCCACTGTTGTATTTAAACTGTCTCCAGTTTGCATAATTATATTTTTATCAGGTTAATTTCTTACTAACTTTTTATGTGTTTTGTGCGTTTCAATCACACCAATAACAAAAGGTTTTGGCTTAGACTATAAGTTTAAATCAAACAGGGAAACTCAAACTCTTTCTCTTTTTTTTTTAAGTATTGTGTTTGATATGTTAAATTCTTTGTTTTGACACAACTTTCAACACCTCAGCTGATCAAATTTGTTAGATAACTTAAAAACCGCAAATAAACCAAGAAATGATCTAATATCAAAAATAGTGTGAAGAAGTTTATCCATTAGGAAAGCAGTTTACTGCTGGACTCCTGGCTTACAAGAACATTTTCAAACATAAGCTATGGTCTCTTAAATAATAAAACTACCACAGAAAAACTGCAATTATTTCTAGATTTTTTATAGACTCAACATACTGCAATGCGAAGTTGGTCATTAAATATTAATTAATTTGTAATAGAATTTAACCTAGCCATGAATACATTGTTAAAAACCCTTAAAAAAATTTTCAATTAATTTTATTTCTAAACTGTACCTCTAACTTTTCGGATCAGTGCATTAGGCAAACATGAAATCTGAATGTGAATATTAAGCAATGTCCAAGCAATGCCCAAATATGAAAAGAAAAGTTACAAATCATTATAAAGAAAAAAAATTATAATTGGTGAGAGTGAAGAAAATGATGGTGGTAGTTTTTTTTTTTTCTCCAGCTTTTCATTTGGTGTTCATAGGTATATTCTAACCACGTTTATGAGCATTTTGGATTTTCTCAAAGTGTCTAAATTCACTGGGTTATATTAAAAAAGTACGGACATACATTTTTTATAGTATAAGATTCACCATGTATTAGGATTATAACCTGTACAGTAAACAAAAATGCAGGTGTATGATTTGGGAAGAAAGGGTTGTGATAATTTCCCTTCTGTCAGGTCAGCTTACTGGGGAGTTTTCCCTTTCAGCATGTCTGTGTTTTTCATTCTTTTACAAATAAATTCATGAATCAAAATCTGGAATAATTTGATATATGAACTAACAAAATATTTTCAAATTACAAATACGCTTAATTACATTGATTGAGCTGGCAAAAAAATATATAATCTAAATTAACATCTCTATTGGATAATGTCTCCCACCCCGTGCATGAAGCTGTTGCAGAACTGGAGAGCTCCTTCAGTGACAGACTGCTGATCCCTAAATGCACCATGGAGCATTATCACAGATCCTTCCTCCCAGCAGCTGCAAGAGTCTATAACCACCACTGTTCCCAACAAACCCAATAAGTTGTTACAATCATGCTGATTTTGCACAAATTGCATCTTAGTCAGTTAAATACATTTGCTGCTGTCATTTTGCACATCTGTGATGTTGCTGCTATTTAAAAAAATTAATTGATGTAAAAATGCCATAGCTGTATATTGGTTATTTATTCTCCAGGTGCACTATGGCGAGCCGTTTTAACATAAATTTGGTTTCGTCTGAGCATCCATAATTACGTTCCAGATATCTTAAAATACATTTTGACTAGACAAAACCAAATTTTGAATATCCCGAATGGTAATTTAAGATATCTGTATTTACGTTCTGATTAGGAAGAATAATAATTCGAGATATCTTAAATTAAATTTAGACTAGTCAAAACTCCTTTCAAGATATCTCAAATTACGACACCGGATTTGTCATTTAAAGTGTCACACGCTGATTAAACTTTTCCTCCTGTGGATTAAACTGACAGTCAGGAATGATCCTCCTGGAAGCCCATTAAAAAGATCATGACACATTTTGACTAGTTAGAATGTCAATTTAAGATATCTTTAATGGAAAAGCCGAATAATTCAAGATATCTTTAACTCCTTTAGAGATATCTTAAAATGAATTTTGAATAGTCAACATTACAATTCAAGATATCTTTACATTTGTTTTGTCTAGTCATTATTTGCTTTTAAGATATCTATAATAAAATTTTCACTAGTCAAAACCACATACCTCCTATCCTAAAATACATTTAAAATATCATGAATTATGATGGTATTTGAGATATTTTTAATTAGAATTATGACTAGTTAAAACTAAAATCAAGATATCTTGAAATTACTTTATGACTAGTCGTAATTTAATCTTAGATATCTGAAATGTGTATTTCAGACAGTCAGTAATTAATTAATTCTAGATATCTTAAATTGAAGTCTCCATACAAGTTAATGGTAAATCTGACTAAGGCATAGTTGCACAGTGTTTATAATCCTAAAACAGTATTTTATTTGTTTATTTTAACTCTTCACTATTAAGTTATTCATATGCACTTTTCTAAGGTTTGTGAGACCATTTTTCTATAATCGTTTTGCGGCTGTAAACACAAGAATTTCCCCATTGTGAGACAATAAAGGGATTTTCTATTCTATTCTATTATATACATCGTCACGCGCGCTCAGACAGAACGCATCACCTCCATGAAGAGTTTTTGCACACGCCGCGTGACGTTTCAGAGACAACCACTCGAAGACAGAGAGAGAGAGAGAGAGAGAGAGAGAGAGAGAGAGAGAGGTGGCCCTGGAGCCCGGACGCTCTGCTTAGGTGGAAAGAGGTTTGTGCCCTAAAAGAACAGTAATTTTCCCCATTATCTCTAACCAGCGGTCGGTGAACCTGTGTCTAAACACGAGATGTGACTCTCCGCAGGGATAGTTTCTCAGTGCGCGAGCGACGTTCGCTGCGGCACTCTATAGATAAGAAAAAAAAAGTAGCTTGATGAGAATCCAAAGTAGTGGAAGTTTGGAGGGGACGCCATCTTTGGTCCCAGCTCTCCACGTCCCCAACACGGACTGTGTTTTCAGCAGCTTACCACGGCAGGGGTGAAGGCCTCGGAAGGTATCGTCAAAACATCTTAAAATCTCTAAATCATTCGTGCTGAAGAATCTTCATTATTCGGAGTGGGGCGTTAAAAAAATTCGTGTCAAAACTACCGAACAAAATTTGTTAGTGAAAGCTGCTAACGTTTACAGTGAAGCTCCAAAGTCCATTGAGCCTGTTTGGCTAGCTAGTAGCACCGAAGACAGGACCGTAGCTTAGTGCTCAGGCCAATGCTATAACATTTAGAAAAATAACCCACATTACTGCTTTAATAAAACACCTTAACTAAAGGACACGTTTGAAAAACAGCAATCGGCTTATCTTTTACGAGAACATCACGTCGCTGTGATGGTTAACACTGACCGAGGCAGTTGATGCAAGTAGAAAAAGCAGTTTCTGGAAGTAAATGTTGTACCGTAACGTGCAGGGTAAAGGTGTGCATCGCTTCGTTTGCTCTCCTTTGTGTCCCGATTGTTTTGTTTACCAACATCGATGTTAATTATGTTCTGTTGCTGGATGTTTTTGCTATCCTAACGGGACAGGATTTCACACAGACTAAGCTACTGTTTCTTAGACGACCCCTTGCAATGGATGCTAACGCATGGCATCCTTGCGCAAAACAAATCTCTTAATTTTGAGTTTTTTTTTGTAAAATTGTCAATAAGGAGGACATTTATTTATTTATTATTCTTTGTGAATATTAATTCCGGCTCTTTTAGGGTCTGTACTTTTCACCTAATTACTCGGTGATGGAGGATTGAGCTCATATTTGTCCCCCCTCCCACCCTGCTCCTTTGGGTTATCACTGTAACACACTCGGACTGACAACAATGATGGCTGCCTACATCAGTGAGCCACTTGTCATTGTTAGTTTGTTTCTCCTCCTGGTTTTGCTGATGAAGTTGTCTGTGATTCGGATTGGGTGTGAACTGCTCCCTCATATCATGCCTAAAATTTCTTTCTTACTCTCAATGAGTCCTCCATAAACAGGTGGTCAGTCTGCTGAACAGCATGGAGTTAAAATGACATCCACAACAAGGGCTGTAAGGGTTCAACCTCAAGCTCCAGCAGGGGCTTGAAGATAGATAACAGTCATGCACTAAAGCCTTGGTGTTTGGGACATAAAGAAAAAAATGTATGCATGAAACTAGTGATCATATTTTGGTTATCATATGCAGGATTTGTATAGCCTCCGTGTATTCCTGAAAAATACATTATTTATCTTAATTATATTGTAGTAAGGTTATATTGTGGGAATTGCAGCATATTACAATTAATAACATGTGCTATTCATTTTTCCTCATATGAAAAGTAACACATTAATCATCAGATTAGGTTTTCATTAGTTTTTTTGGATGCAAAATGTTAAATTGAAAAATCTAAATGAACCGCAACCCATATAAATAGTAGCTTTGAGCTGCTATTTGTGTGGCATATTCCCCCTTTTTGCTGTTCTGCTTTTTATAGGCTAAAGGTGGATTTATAATGCAGATATGCCCCTTCCGCAGACACTAGTGACTACAGACAGGAGGTCTCTGATTGGTCAAATCTATTTCCTGTTTGGTACCTTGCTGGCTTGTTTTGTTTGTATGACCGCCATTATGGAAAATGACTCGTGAAGATGGACCAGCTAGAAGAGCAAGGCTGAGACCCTTTTTCCACCTGGATCCCCGTTCTTTTTCGCCCTCATGTCCCTCCGTTGTCGCACATACTCGCCCCCACTTCCTCACCGCCTTGACCGCATCTAGATCCTCAGCTACTTCGTGATTGTCCCCCTTACCTTGTAGCGTGGAATAACATATGCTTCAACATTGGGCATTAATCAAATATATCTGTCATACCCACAACAAGCTCACTGCGACACGCAGCTGCGGGAGTATAACCAGCCCTTAACAGTTCAATCAGCTGATATTTTCTGTTTGATTGGTTTGGTTATTTGCCAGCAATAAATGCAAAAGCTTGTTTTTTGTTTTGATGCCGATCTGTCGCATATCGCACCTTATCAGGGTAATTGAAATTGGACTTATGTTGAAGATGTTTGAGTTGTGCAGATTTTTTTTTTCTTTTACAGATTCAGTTCTTACAAAAACAAAAATATTTCTCCTAGATTTATAGAAGCATTGTGTTGTTACTCTGCTATAAGATTAGCACTGTGCAGTAAATGTGGACCTTTTGGCTTGCTGTTTGGCAGATTTCACATGGAGTGCATCAGGGATGTCCCGAAACAACTTTTTCATTTTCTTAATATCAATCAGATTATGACATCCATTACGTGTTGCCTAAATACTGTAAACAATGGCCCTAAGCTAAAGAGCAAAATTGGGGAGTTTGAAAATTTAACATTTAGTCAACATTTCTTATCTGAAATCAATGGAATCTTCTGCTATTCTACATCCAAATTAGACAAATCAAGATCGCTGCGAAAACCAGCAAAATGAAGAGTTATAGAAGTAGTACCTCCCTGGAGGGCTGGTTGAAAGCCTACAACAGCTGCTTCCTGTGGATTTTGCAGTTCTTATTTTGGAGATCATCACTACCAACACTGAACATACCAGTAATTTATTACCAGCATGATTTATATTTGCCCAGGTTAAAGGTGAAAGCTCTGTCGTTTAGCTGAACAAGCTGGAAATAAAGCAGTCGTAGAGACTCGTATAGTCTCTTCACATCTTAACATGTCTCCTTAATCGTTTTTGGCAGCTTTTTGTTTGGTTTTCGACCCAAAGCTGCTTAGATAAATAAAAAATGCAAGCTGTATTCCTGTGGTCAGAGGCAGATGATTCGACAATAACATTTCCTGCAGATTTGATTGGAAGTCAAAGACCTATTGTGAGGAAATGAACGAAGACTAGTTTGTTGAAGCCTTGGGAGGGGGAGGAGGAAATTGAGTGACTGCCAAATTGTTTCCAACATTTGTCTTATTGCACAGGAACTGGAATTTTTATTGCAGTTATCAGAAAAAATGTGAGCTGAATTTTGCAGTAATAGTTCCCTAAAACACTGATGTATACATACATTTAATCAAAAATAAATGATGCCTTGATGAGCTGGATCAAAACCTTAAAAGATAAATGATGGTTCAGATGTAGTATTTCGTTTTTTAGGTATAGTGCATATAAACTACAGATTGAGTCTTATAATGTTTATGTTGTACAGATTCCTAATATTATAGTATAGTATAGGGCTGCACCTATTGATTATTTTAATAATTATAATGTACAATGCAATTATATGCTTATAATGTACATTCGATCACTGCTGCACTTTTTGAATGGAAATGTTTTTTGTCTTTTTCCACTGCTAAGCTGCTGCTCATTCACTGACAGAAAACTGTATAAACTAAATTTCATGTTGTATACACTATTCAAAAGGACAATAAAGTTAGTCTGAGTCTAATAATTGTTAATTGAATTATTCATTTTCATATGAATCTTACAGAGGTAATCTCACTAAATTAACATACCTCAATATAGAATAAAATCACATTTTTTAAAGCGGCTTTATTGCATAATGGCTTACTTTGTGTCCTTGTCCATCTATAAAAAGCTGTTTGTCACTCAGTAACACTAAAGTAGGGTACAATAATTTATCAACAATTTCACCTCTTTCAGTCATAAGCTGCTTTCTCTGTCCATCTCTAATAACAAATCTCTAATTAACAAAGACATTTGTTTGAAAATAAGTCTTTTTGTATAGTCTGTGGCAGTGATCATTTGTTCTGTAAAACATTTACATGGTCTGTGTTGCCTAAGGAAATGTTTTTCTAAATGATTGTTCTCAGTTTTAAATGTATTTCATTTTTTTTTTACTCATTTTAATCAGATCTTGAATTTTCTATCCTCATACATTGCTAGTTGCTTAGCTAAGGTGGTAGCTTTTCAGAAATGGTTGTCTCATTAAAGCCCAGGTTTAGTGTACAGGCACCTCTGAGTCTGCAGCAGCACAGAATCCCAAGGAGCTCCTGTATCATTCCCCCAGGAGCTCAGCATTCAGCATCGCCTAGCAATTGAAGCATTCCTTTTGGACTCTCAGGATAGCAGCATTTGCAGCACAGAAAACGCTGTAACCGCTGCGCTCCTGGAACAAATGTTTGACACCTGTAGGATTGTATTAGTTTGGGTTTTTGTGATTTAGCTCTTTGTGTTATTGCTCTCCCTAATACAGTGCCCTTTGTCTGCTCTGTATTTTGCATCCAATAAAATCAAATAACAGGTGTTCTATGTATCGTTGCTTATCAACACAGGCACTATGGATGAGCTGCACAGCCTGGACCCCCGCAGACAGGAACTACTGGAGGCACGTTTTATGGGTGGGGTCAGTGGCAGCACAGGTGGGAGCACTTGCAGCACAAGCGGAGGAACCAAAGTGAGTCAGTGTCCTGATGGCGTTGGTTAACCCTTTTTTGTGTTCAATGTTTTGTTTGCAGTATGTATAGGTGGTCACCTGAATTAAAGCAATTTTTTTTTTCTCCTGCAGGGACTGACCAACAATGAATGTTCAAATCATAGTTTTGGAAGTTTGGGATCCTTGAGCGACAAGGAGTCAGAGGTAAGACATCAATGTCCTGCGTATCCATTTTTACTGTTTGAGGAACGGAATGAGAATCTTTTTTATGAATGCAGTTAAAGCTGCAGTCCAAGTTGAATTACGATACTCATCAGTGGACCGATGAGTGCAAAATTGTAATTGCAGAAAAAGAACTGGATGGATGGTAAATCTCAGCATGCTAAAGATATAGTTAACCAGTTATATGGACTCTCACTCTCCTTGATGCCAACATTTCCTATACACATTAGTGACAAACCTTTTTGCAAAGGAAAATCTAGTTGTCAAAAAGCTGTACTTTTTATCCTAGAGTAAAGATGTCAGCTCAACGTAGCAGCCAAAGACGCAGTTTGGAAAATTTTTATGTAAGAGGAAGAAATGATGGAAAACTTAAGACTGGAATTTCAAATTTCATAATGAACTGATTAATAATTGATAAACTTATTTTTTTTAAGCTGCTTGTTTTGTCCCAAGTACCTATACATGGGTCTGATGTTTTTATTTAAACCTATAGTTGTCTTGTGTATCTGGTCATTGGTTAAAGAAATTAGATTTTTTTTCAATTGACTGTATTTGGAAAACATGTTAAATTAGCTAACCTCATTAGATTTTTGTTCAGTACTCCATTATTCTTTCTGTGTATTTATATATCCTCTATGTTGTTTTATGGATTGGTGTAATCCTTGTTGTTTTTCTGTTTTTTTTTTCATCCATTTCTTGGTAAACGATCACATTTTGTTAAAAGTCAGAGTTTATAGGCCTGTAGTTTAGTGATTCCGACCAGGTTTTATTTTCATAAGCTATATGGTTTCCAATAAACTATTCATTACAGAGCTTAGTTTGGGTCAAAGGTGGTTTTGGCAACAATGAGTGTTTAAAAGGATGAATTGATAGAAAAAAGAAATGTTCTCTGATAGTATGACAATCAAAAAAATCTCATCAGAACAAATTTTTCTCAGGGTAGCTTTAAGGCATTGATAAAAAAAGAAGCATACATGACACAAAAGACCTTAAAAATAGACTGTTCACCAGGAGCTGAACTGGAGGAACTAATATCACTCTTTTGTGTTGGTGTGTATTCTTTGTTTAAGGGGGTGTTCCCATTAATCTTAAATTAGTTAAGTAATTCTGTAAGTGTTCTAAATCGCTTTTGTCCGGGTCAGTTAATAATAGTTCATGTTTCTCTGGTTTCTAAAAATGAAATATTCAGTTTTTACTCTTGAAAATTAAATCCACGTCTGTTAACTTTTTGTTTTGTTTTGTTTGTTTATATATTGTAGGGTTATAGAAGCCCTCTCTTTAGAATAAAGATAATTCTAATAAATTCATTAGTTTTTGGTCTAAGTCTGTTCTGTTTTCCTTATTTGATTGGGTTCTGATGTAAAAAGAGGCAGTTCTCCTGCATATTCGGTCGGTATATAAAATATACCCAGTATAATATATTATTACAGCTGTTGCTTTTTCAACGCTTCAGTTATAGACTTTTCAGTTAGAGGTGATTAATTACAAGAAATCATAGCAAAATGACTGTATTGCTTAAAAATGAATTCTAATGATCAGGGTATAGAGTTTGGGGTCGGTTGGATGCACACTAAAGCCCCAGTCCTGGTCAAAAAGTGCAGGTTGAATGATGTGTTTTTATCGTTACTTACTGTTGAGTTTCATCTTCTAGACTCCAGAAAAAAAGCAGTCGGAAACGACCAGAGGCAGAAAAAGGAAGCCAGAGATCCAGTCAGAGAGCAGCCAAGGTTAATTTCTCTTTATTTCTGCTGTCAGTATGTTGGACATGTGGAGGGGCTTATATCCATAAAGTAAACACGTCATTCTTTTGTCTTTGAAGGAAAATCAGCTGTGCGAGGACCCAAAATAAGTGATTATTTTGATGTAGGTTTGCAGTTTTGCATTTCTTACACATTCCTATGCTTGTGTGGTTTGAGCCTAACAATAATTTTTTGGTCTTTTAGTTTCATGGAGGGAATGGGTCCAGTCCTGTGAGAGGTCTCCCTCCAATGCTCCGCTCACCACAGAACTCACATTCCCAGTCAGCTCAGGGTGTTGCTGTAAGTCATCCTAGATCTTACAGTCTTTATCCTCTTTTTTTGCTCCGTTTGATACAAGTTTGTCTAAAAAAGGCTTTCTTTTCTTTTTTTAGGTTAGACAAAATAGCTCATCTCCTACTAATATGTCTTTTGGGGACCAGATGACAAACCCAAAACAACTATCTGTCAAATTAGTTCAGGTGAGGGGAGCTGACTGAAGCCCGATGCCAAACGATTGTTTTGATAACTTTGTGAATCCTTTGAAAACATTTACATTTGGTTTTTGCTGCAGACCGATCTTACAGTTGTAAAATTGGCTGCGCTTGAAAGTACGAAGAACTTGGACCTTGAGAAGAAGGAGGGTCGAATAGATGACCTACTAAGGGTAAGTTACACTGGACCGCTTTGTTTTTTATATTTTTGTGCCATTTCATTGTTAAAAAGTTACTTCTGATGTAGCTTATAGTTATAGCTGATGTTATTTCCTTATCCTGTATCTTAGGCAAACTGTGATCTCAGGAGGCAGATTGATGAGCAGCAAAAATTACTTGAAAAATATAAGGAACGATTGAATAAATGCATCACCATGAGCAAAAAGTTGCTCATAGAAAAGGTACATTTGATATACTTTCTTTTCACTGTTGAAAATAATGTGCAAACCCTGATACCAATAGCTGCTTGGTTCTCCAGAGCACCCAGGAGAAGCAGGCCTGTCGGGAAAAGAGTATGCAGGATAGATTACGTCTGGGCCATTTCACCACAGTTCGACACGGGGCCTCATTTACAGAGCAGTGGACAGATGGCTATGCCTTTCAAAACCTCGTCAAGTAAGCCATTCTTTAGAGATTCTGTCCAATTTTTTAATGGTTTCAATAAATCGCTTGAGTAGAACTAATTTTTCTGCTGGAGATCATTTCTAGTTGCGAGTTTTAAAATGTGAACCCTGTGTGTGCTTTGACAGACAGCAAGAATGGATAAATCAGCAAAGAGAAGACATCGAAAGGCAGAGGAAACTATTAGCAAAGAGGAAACCTCCATCCTCTAGCAACTCCCAAACACCTACCACAAACTCAGAGCCAAAGCAACGTAAAACCAAGGCGGTGAACGGAGCAGAAAGTGATCCCTTTCTAAAACCCAGCCTACCTCAACTGTAAGTCTAGGAGTCTGTGTATATATTAAATCAGACAGTTGATTCCTAAGTTAACATTCTGTGTCATTGAGTTGTTTTTTTGGAACTTTTTGTGTATAAATGAAAAACCAAAACGTGTGAATCTGTGTTACAAAAGAAAATACACATGCAACTATTTGTAAATGAAGGGTGAAGACACTCAAATATTGAAATAAAAATGCCAACAGAATCAGTAAAAAATAACAGAAAATAGATTACTATAAAGCTAAGAAAGCAAATGGAAATTTAAGTGATTGATGCAATAATAAAAAATAATCTAATTGATGAGAAATTAACTATCCAGAACACTGAAGTATTGGCATTTTGAAACTTATGTGTTGGTCTGTAATGATAAACAATAAATCCATTAATTTTATAACTTTAAATAAGCTCGATAATACAGCTTTGCGTTTTTTGGGGTTTTTTTTGGCCTTGTGTCTCCTTCTCGCCCTACTAAAGGGTCTGGATTAGAGGCCTGCGCGGGACAGTCCCGCGCCCGCCCGCTCCCACAATGTTCAGTCCCACTCCTGCCCTCAATTCCCGCATGATTCTGACATTCGCCTACTGTTCAAGGCAATTCGTATCTTTAGTTTGTAGAATTAAACACGCTGTGCTTAGCTGAGCCCATTACTGGCCGATTCTTCACCGCATAGCGCATGATGCGCATTAGGTAGCAGGAGCTGCAATATCCAGCACATTGTGATTTATATATATGATAGACAGATAATTTATGACTTTATTTTACATTTAATTTTACGTTTTAAAACACTTTTTTAGTTCGTGGGACTGCACCTTATCACCACTCCCACCCGTACCCGCACTGTGCGCTCTCCCTCCTGCCCGCACCCGCAATGAGCTTTCAATATTGTAGTTCCGTGGGAGTGCAGGGCTCTAGTCTGGATGACAAAAGGTTTTACTCTGGTGTGTCAGTATCCATTCCCCCCTCCCCTTGTTGTACTATTAGCGTCGTGGATGTAGCATGAGAGCCTGAGGAGTAGAAGGTTAGAGAAATTAGGAAAAGATTGAATTGGTGAACATTGAATATGACAGCTGCTGTGTGGGAGCACTTTGATTTCAAATCAGATAACAATATTATTGCATATCGCGATAATTTCTGCCACAATTTATCATTTAGCAAAATTAGTTGGCATAACAGGCCTACTGTATAAAATGAGTAATTTTGACTTAAAGAAACACTGAGGAAACAGTAGCTTGCAGATACCTGGAGGTAGGCTGCTCCAACGTTCTGGAGCCCCAGGTGGAAAAAAAATGTTTTTGCAAACCCTGTGAATGCAGGAGACATGCTGGTGAAACCAGAGATTCTAGAAGTTGAGTTATATCTAAATATTTACTGGCACCTTTAGGAAGTCATTGACAGTACAATGAAGTCTGGACAATTTGTGTTCAGTATTTTTTTAATGAAGGATGTGTTAGAATCAGAGCAATTCTCCCATCTTCTTATTTTAAGGCTGACTCTAGCAGAGTACCATGAACAGGAAGAGATCTTCAAACTGCGACTGGGACATCTGAAGAAGGTTCGTTTGAAATTGAATTGCCTAGCATTTAATATAACATTGTTTCCCATTTAGAAATGGTTAAGTTGTTTTATTTAAATTGGTAATCCAATTTATGTCTTTACTTATGTATGGTTTGTAACTCAAATATATAATATTTAAATTTCTTTCTTGGAATCTAGTCAGCACTTGTTTCCTTATGCTGCAGTAATGTGATGATCTCCTCTCTCAGCTGTCAGTTCTCTAAAGTTGCTCCTTTGCCCTTGTGTGTTTACGTGCTTAAATCATTTATAGGAAGAAGCTGAGATCCAGGCTGAGCTGGAGCGCCTGGAGAGAGTCCGCAACCTTCACATCAGGGAGCTGAAGAGAATAAATAATGAAGACAGCTCCCAGTGAGTCTAAATGGGTTTCTCTGTTAACACTGGAACATAATGTGCACACAGATTATTTAACAAAACGCTATATGACATATAAAGAACAATTAAGAAAAAAACATGGTTTAATCTTTTCCCTGTTCTCCACCTTAAGATTTAAAGACCACCCCACTCTAAATGAACGGTATCTGCTCCTACATCTCTTGGGGCGTGGGGGCTTTAGTGAAGTTTACAAGGTGAGGCTTTGAAGCTTTGCTGTATCAACTGTTGAAAGGTCATCTGGACCTGGTCTGTGTCACTGACCTTTACCGAAATGTGCTTTTCAGGCTTTTGACTTGATTGAACAACGATATGCGGCTGTGAAAATTCACCAACTTAACAAGAACTGGAGGGAAGAGAAAAAGGAGAACTATCACAAGTATGTGGGTCCAGTTGGAAGGCGGGCAAAGGAGTTCTTGTCAGTTTATAATTGCTGTGTCTGGGTCCTCTTTTTTTTTTGGTTTAACTCTGTAAATTTGGCCTGATATTTTTCGACAGACATGCATGTCGAGAGTACAGGATACACAAAGAGCTTGACCATCCTAGGATCGTTAAACTTTACGACTACTTCTCACTGGACACAGACACGTTAGTAACTTCCTGGGTATTTGTTCTTTCACTCATCTTTTCCTAGATATCAGCTGTGATTACTTGATGTCTCTATTTGAACAGGTTTTGTACCGTCATGGAGTTCTGCGAGGGAAACGACTTGGATTTCTACTTGAAGCAGCATAAGCTAATGTCTGAGAAAGAGGCCCGGTCTATAGTCATGCAGATAGTGAACGCACTAAAATATCTAAATGAAATCAAGCCTCCCATCATCCATTATGACCTTAAACCAGGTGAGCACGCCTCTTGAGCGCCTGGGGACTGACGGCGCACAATCACGATGTTAGTCTTCGGCTTACTTTGCTTCGATTTGCAGGGAACATCTTGCTAGTGGACGGCACAGCCTGTGGGGAAATAAAAATCACAGATTTTGGTCTCTCCAAAATCATGGATGATGACAACTATGGCGTTGATGGGATGGATCTGACGTCGCAGGGCGCGGGGACCTATTGGTGAGGGAAAATTTACTAATAGGTTTGCAACATATTAACTATTAACCAGCTGTTCAGCTGTTTATTATAATAAACATTTGATTGATTTAACAGTCTAGGATTAATAGATTCTTGAATCCAGCGCCCATGTCTAAAAAAGTTGTATTTTTAGTACCTTTTTTTATTTACCAAACATCATATAAATCTGGTTTATAGGTACCTCCCTCCTGAATGTTTTGTGGTTGGTAAAGAACCCCCAAAGATCTCCAACAAGGTGGATGTCTGGTCAGTAGGAGTAATCTTTTTCCAGTGTCTTTATGGACGAAAGGTAAGGCCAATGGTTTGGTAATAGCCGTTTGTGTTTTGGTAACATAAACCTAAAACCTGTTGCTCCATTTCCACAGCCTTTTGGCCACAACCAGTCACAGCAGGACATTCTGCAGGAGAACACTATTCTCAAAGCTACTGAGGTCCAGTTTCCTGTAAAGCCAGTTGCCAGTAATGAAGCTAAGGTAAGAGTCTCGCTTTGCTTTCACTGTGAAAGGATAATGTGTTTGCTTGTTTTTTTTACCCGGTGGTTGAAAGTTTGTATAATTAAAGGTTAGTTATTATAATTTTCAGAATTTCTATGTGGTTAGGATCTGATTTGCCTTACCTGTTTTTTTATTTTTATTTTAATTAAATACCATTGACCTTGTGTTTTAGTTGGTTTCACTCTCATGCTGCTTTCTAAATCTAATGTTTTAGAAGAAATCCTGATGAGTTACTCTGACATTTAATTTCCCTTTGGAATAAGAAAGTGTTTTTTCAAGAAAACAGAGTGAGGACCATTTTTCCAATTTCCAATGTGTATGTATATATGTATATATGTATATATATATATATATATATATATATACACACACACACATTAGTGTTGGTTTATTTAACTGGGGGAAAATTGCATAATTGATTTTTAACAAATGAATTAATGTAATTTAGACGCTTTAGCTACAATATTAGGATGGAGTTTTATGGCGAGAGTCTGCAAAGTTTGAACACCAGAGTAGTGTGTGATAAAAGTATGTACAAGCTGTAGCAACTAAATATAAAGTATTGTCATATCCCCCCTATGAGAAACTTAACTACATGAATGATTAAGCTATAATAATAATAGAGTTTTATTGATTTCACATTGTTTACATCTACATTTAACCCATCCCCTTGGGGAGCAGTGGGCTGCCACTGTGCAGCGCCCGGGGAGTGATCGGGCGCAGAGACCCAGAGTGGCGGTCTGTGGGAGTGGATTTCAAACTCACAACCTCAGAATTCCAAGCTCTATGCCCTAACCACTAAGCTGCCACTCCCTATATAAGCATTCTGCCGATGCTAAATGTCTGAGAGACTGACAAAGAAATGTGGATGGTTTTCATTTCAACCAGGCATGTCTTTAAAAATGTAATGTAAATGTAAAAATAATAATAAATTCAGAGGAAAAAAGGTATCTGATTTCAAATTAAATACCTTTTTTTTTGGTATTAAATATGCTGTGACATAGGGGCCATATCTCCTGAATAAGACAAGAGAGCACACAAAGTTTTTAAGGCTATTCCTCACGCATAAGGAAATGCTTTCAATGCAAATTAAACCTTCCCATGTCTGGAGTCAGAGGAATAATTAGAAAAATTACTCGAGTTGTGAGAAATGAGGAAAGAGCAGCACCCAGCTTTGTCAGTGAGGAGGACGGGAGGCTAGGGGATGTTAAATCTCCAGAACTCAGTGCTGAACTGCTTGGTTATGCAACTGCAGTAGAAATTAGTTTATTTAGCAGATCTATACGAGTACCAGGCCTTAAACTAAGCTTTTTTTTTTATGTTTTTTCTTACATCTAAGGTAATGCTGGGTTTCAGAAACCACTTATAATGCATTTATGGTTAATTTAAAATGACTTTGAAAGGTTTACTTTAAGAACCCTGACAGTACATCTTCCAGCTAATGCGGTTTTTCCCTTTTCCTTCCTTAGGCCTTCATAAGACGCTGCCTGGCATACCGGAAGGAGGATCGAGTCGATGTTCTCCAGCTGGGAAGCGACCCCTACCTGCTCCCTCAAATGCGAAGATCGAGCTCCTCTGGAAACCTGCAGCTGAGTGCTGCTAGCGCCGGCTCAGCCTCTTCCAGTCTCATTTCATACTGACAGTTTTAAACTTTCTAAGAAAAGCAAACCGACAACTGAAGTTGGAGCTGTGAGGCTCATTGGGACAGGAGCAGCAGGATGCGAGTGTGAGGATGTTTATCTGCCTCCTCTGACCTGCATCCGGATTCTTCCCTTCACAGAGACTTTATCAGTGGAAGGATGGAGAAGTGTCTCAAAGAACATGCATAAAAGGATCGTTAGTTGTGGGAAGGGGGCTCCCAAAAAAAAAAAAAAAAAGCACTGAAACCATATCTTGAAGAAAACGTTACTGGACACCCTTAGAGAGGATGAAGACGGCTGGAGCGTTCAGTAGCGGAATGGAGATTCGGCTCTGTGCCATTTAGATTTGATAAAGACTGTCCTGCCAGGATGCAAATTATACAGCTGCTAGAAGTTAATTTACTGTGAGAAGAAGTTGGTCATTGTTGAGTAGAATTGAAGAAATTTCACTATTGATTTGGATAATTTTGTTTTTTTTCTCCCACAAACGCTAGGCTTTAATTTGAGTTACTTAGCCATGGGAATGTGTAGCATAAGTGGCATCTAGTGTCATGTAGGCTGGAGGAGCATACTTAAGTGCACAAAGTAACCAAATGTAGAAAAGTGATGTATAAAAAAAAACCCTATGCAGGAATATTAATTAAAATATAAATTGGAAACTGTATATGCTGTATAGGTGAATTTTCAAAATTTGAGCTGCAGCAGTTAAAAGTTTTCCTGACATAAAATAAGTTTCCTGGAGTTTTTTTTTTTCATTTTGCTGCTTTGCTGCTCTTACTTTTTCAAGGGCTGTATGTTCCACTTTGGGTACAAGTTGTACAGTTATGCTTAAAATGAATAATAAATTCCAGGAACAGTTTTTCTTCCCCTAATAAATGTTATAACCAATTTTCTCTCTCGAAGCAAAACTAAACTACAATTTTAAAGTGAACTTAGATGTTTTTGAAGTGTTTGATTTCCTTAATTTGAAAAAAATATGAACAGCTAATGAAAACCTAGTTTGGTTTCTTGTATTACACACGCAGGTCTGAGGATTTTTAATGTGGAAATGTCAGCCTGCTGAAAAGCAGTCCAACACAATTGGTGACAGTGTGCATATATGATGGATATCCCAAATGCTTTGGGTATCAATTCCAGCTGGGTGAATGAAACTATTATCCCTTCAAGGCTTTCTGCAGAACTATTTTTTTTAACACAATTCTTCCAATTATTTTCCAGTAGTATGCTCGCACACTGAACATTTCAAGCACTCAGCTTCTTTAGCAATAAACTTATAGCAGTTCCTGATGGGTGGTGTCGGCAGCCGAACACTAACAGAAAAAGAAAATGCTTTTAACCAAATTATGTGTTTTTTCTGAAAAACTTTGCCACTATGTTCATGGGCAACATCACCACCATCTGGTTTTGTTTGGAACTGCATGCTTTAAATCTGTTTTTTACCCACAGGACAAAATAAATTGGGAGAAACCAAAACACCAGAATCACCAGTCAAGATTATATCAAACTTTACTGTTTTTTTGCAATCAATGATGGTATAACACTTTAAACAAACCTGCAAAATCCTCTGCAGCTTAATTTAACTTGTAAGTTTTTTTAATAGTCTAACCACTAAAATGAAATGATACCGACATCCACACTCAAATTGACCACATCTTATGATTGGCATCTGAGAAAAGTGAAACTGCATAGTACCAGCAATGTTTTAATTCAGTTTAGTAAAAATCTTTAAATTCATCTGAAGTTTCTTCAGTCTCCACCAGGAGCTGCTATGCAAACAAAGTTGTTGTGCAACTAATTTGTGAGCCAAGTGGAGCAGCACCTGCTTATGATGCAGAAGATGAGGGAAAGGTGTCGCCTTTATCAGGTGCTCTGTGCTACGACGAGTCCACAGTCACTGTGAAATTCATTGATCCAGAGTTGGAGACTGATGACTGGTTGGAGTTTTGGGTCAGTAAACTGTTCATATGAATAGTTGAAGAGGGATATATGTTGGCGTATGAATTAACAGCAATGGTTGGATCAGGAGGAGAAGAAGAAACACTGGAAACTGAGGCCGGAAAGTTGAGTGGAGGAAGACCTGCAGAGCACAAGACAGAAGTCTATTAAAAAGCGCTCACTTGGAAGCTAAGTATTTAAAACAACTATAGTACAAATATGGCTCTATGAAACATTCTGCCCCAAATCTGTTTAATGTGCCTAATTTTTAAAATCAGAGTTAATCTTAAAAAAAAAAAAATAAAAAAAAAATCCAGTTTTAAAGAATGTCGTGTACAGAGGAGGAACAAGCTATCTGAACCAACCTGCCACTTAGTGAGCAGGTAATCATACCCAGGAGGGAACCTGTCTGACGACATTAGGTTGGCTAAAATATGTTTAAAGGAGACAACACGCACCCTTCCAAAGAAAATTAATACCATGAATGAAATAAAGTCAGAATTTAATATGGTTAGGGACTTCAGGGAGCAACGGTCCTTTTGAATAAATGTAGAAGGGAATAAATGTTCCCAGAAGTAACCGGCCAACCAATATTATTGCAAGAATACATTGAAAATTAATCCAGGAAGTCACTTAATCCAGGACAGCACCTGAAGCTGTTATGTCAGATGTTAACTTTAATTTGATAATCTAAAACAATATCCATGTGAAAAAAAAAAAATCTCTAAAAAGGGAGAATCTGAATATTGACTAGATCATCTCACAATGTTCGTATCCAATCCTGGTTGCTTCTGATATTTGTTTGCTTTAGCCCACCAAGCTTTCTGTCACAATGAACCCTTGGATAATGTCATCAACTGCAATGAGTTTCTCTGGTCAAAAAGCTCCTGAAATCTAAAAAGCTATCTTCTGTCAAAAGTTGGCCTCAACCTCCTATGTAGGCATTTTATTAAATGGTTCAATAGCAGAAAACGTAAAGGATGTCTGAAAAACAATCACCTAATACAGCTTTGGTCCTCTCATGGTATTTCAGTGAAAAATTAAACCTTATAAAAAACAAACAAAAAAAGTAATTTAAAATCCAAGAACACTGGGGTAGAACCTACCATTCTGCTGAATCCCAAGTCCTGGTGGTAGAACCCGACCCACACCTGGCAAAGTGGCGTTTAGGTTTGTTGAATGAGAAAAGGCTGGAAGACCTCCAGGAAGTGGAATGAAGCCTGGGTAAAATAATTCATAGCAGCTTTGAGACAGTTTAGAGTCACTGCAGTTTAGTTTTATTTGCAATAATAAAAGAATAAAACTGTAAATAGTTCAACATCACTAATATTACTCAAACCCTTTCATGGAAAGCCTCTTTAATAAACGCAATAGAACTGTTCTGCTGTTATGAGCTGCTGTGATGATGCAGACAGCAGGTTCTGAATGGAGCAGCCATCTTTTGAAGTTTGGAGTCAAATAACTTTCACTGACACTCTAGTTCCTTCCAGGACATCTTAGTAAATCTCACCTTGGAGAATGTTGATATATGCAAGGTACCATTGTCCTGTTTTAAAGGTCAAATAAATTCATGTTCCTCAGAGACTCCACACACTTACAGGGAACTGAAACCCCATAGTTTGCTCTCACCAAGTCTTGCTGGAAGACTTTTTTTAGTCATTCGGGAATTTTCGACCACCTGATTCCTCTGGAATCTTGTGGCGGACATTGAAGCTTCCCCTTTCTGCGCTGTGGCTTTCCAGCTTCAACCCTAAAGCCTAGGCTTTAGGGTTGAAGCTGGAAAGCGTTCCTACGCTTTCCAACTGGAGCCATTCATGGCTTCACTGTCTTTTTAGATAATTTTCCTTATCCCTGCTGAGAAACTCCTTCAACGATTCCCTTGATTCAGCAGAAAATGTTATCATGTAACATCAACAGTTATGGTATCTCAGGTATTCCTAAAAAAAACCCTGATGTAGTTATAAAAGAACCTCTTTGTTTGTGAAATTTATCAAACAAACAAACAAAAAAAAACCTGAACATGTTTTCATTTTACCACTAAACCTTAATCTACAGTTTGGAGATTAGATGCCGCTATAGGTCAGTTGTGATGTGAAATCCAGAAAACAAACCTGGTTGCGTTGCAGACCAACCATTGACAGGAAGAGGGAGGGTCGGTGTGGGGATTACATGGTTGGCTGGAGGGGTGACAGGATTTCCTAAAATAACAGCATCATAATATAACATGTTAACCACAGACAGCAACATATCCATATGTCCTATATGTAAATGATTTTGTGTTTTTATCTTAAAGGTATACTATGCAACCGGTGTTGATTTTCCAGCAAGGCTCCCCCCAGAGGGCGAAAGTAAAAGTGCACTGTCATAAATATGCACAGCTGTTCTCCTGGTTTCTCCGTCAAGCCAGGCGCGGATGTTTTGAGCTTAGCAGCGAATGACTAATGCTGCGTTCACACTGGACGTAGCTGGCGCGACAGAAGCAGCGAGTTTACATGCAAAGTCAATGGTTGACGCGCATCAAGGCGCAGCAAAAGGTCCCGCGGCGCGTTTTGAGCAGCAGGCGCAGCACGTCTGAGCAGCTGAAGCAGCGCGTCGGGCATCGGGCTAAGCATCTGACGCAGGGAGAGAGACACAGCGCTGATGATCACTCCTCTTAAACAGTTTATTGACGCCTAAATTAACTAAAAATGCAGAAATCTGCCGGCAGAATATGCAGTTTGGATTATTTAGATGAAAAACACCTACCAGCTGCCGTGGTGAACCGCGAGGAGGCAACCCGGTCAGAGGCTGCTGATGAAGGGATCCCTTCTGTCGGCGCATCCCTGGTATGTGGGGGTCTGAGCGGCTCCGACAGAAAAAATATTGAAGGCAGGATAATAATCTGAATGAACTGACTGCACTGATTACGTTTTCAGGTGTATTTTCTCACTTAAACACATATTAAAACTACTTTATTCCCACTGATCACAGCAAATATAGCTGCAAGGCAGAGAAAGGATAGTGAAGCTCCACCCAACGCGTGTCAGACACACTTTTGCACTGACTCTCACGAGACTTCTGAGCCTGTGGGTGCGGGTCGGTGCTCCTGCAGTTGCAAGTGCAGTATTTCCCCCACAGACCACCAGGGCGGCCGAGAATACCTTTGTTCAACCTGAAACGACTCATTTAATCATCCATAACGTTATGGAACACATTAATTAACTGAAAAATGTTGCATAGTGTGCCTTTAAGTTTAAACACTTTTGTAGTGCAGGACTGCTGAGTCCCTCATTTGAAAGTTAGATTTTTTAAATGTCTAAGAATCAGAATCAATGTTTCACCTGTTGGTGGGTTTATCAGGACAGCTGTTGGCTCAGAGCTGACAGACAAACCGCTGAGAGGTCGCTCTAATCCAGTTGGAGCAGACGACGACACAACAACTGGAACGGTTGGAACCACAGCAGAGAGCTGGACCTGGTAACCACAATTTATTTAAAGGACAATGCAAGTGCTGTTTTTCTGAATGGAGTTACTTCATAAAATTTTCACCTACCTCCGTGTAGCCGTCTTTGGATGTGTGTGGCGCTTCATTATGATTATGTGAACAAGAGTTTTTTTCCTCTTTAATGGTAGGTATCCTGTGTAGGTAACCAAACCCAATCTTGCATCCAAGACTGTGTAAACACAAAGGTACATAAAATAAGTCAAGAAAGACTCCAGCTTAGAATTTTTTTTTCTAAAAAATGTCCTTACATTAATTTAAAATATAGTAAAACTAAGTAACTTAATCTATGAAGCTAAAACTAAATTATTTCACGCTTTAATACATCAATAGTTTAGAGTCAAATCCAGTACTAGAGAGATCTTTTTGTCAACAGGAAACCTCAGCTCCATCTGAAATAAAATAAAAGGACCATTTTGCCTGCAACTCAAATCCTGTATAAGATCTTTTGTAATTGGCTTCGAACTTCATCTAAACAAATCTGTTATCATTCATGTTAACATTGTTGTGTGACTTTAAAATAAGAAACAGTTGATTTATTGAAGACATCCGATTTTGGGACATGCAGTTTTTTTCCGATTGCAATGGATACATAACTAAAATGAAGAATGCATCCTTCCTTGGGGAAGGATCCTTCAGGGGATACATCTTGGCCCCTCATTTCCCATGATTCAATGCAGTTTCAAGCGGTTTTGTCAAGCTTCGGCAGCAGTGGTGGACAGCGGTGGCAAAATCCTGAATAAAAATTGAGAAAATGCTCTTTCTAGGACCAAAAATACACTTTTAATTTGTTTTAACCCGGAATTCCTTAAATATTGAAAATGTCATGTTTGGCTAATTTAAAGGTTTTATTCTATTTTTCAGTAAAGTTTGGGCCAAAATGAGCTAATTTTATTCAGCTCTACTGGACTGCTGCAGTTCCTCAAGGATTAGATTAAAACCGAAGCCATTGGTTGGGATTAATTACTTGCTGCCATCATTGCTTTAGAG